CCGGAGCTGGGGCATCGGCTGCTAGCGGACACTGAGGACTCACGGGGGCCAGACCTGCTCGCTGAGTCCTACGTGGCTGTGAAGCCCCCTGGAGCCAGCTGGAGTCCCTGACCTTCCTCCCGGACACAGGTCACAGCTGCCGGGCCCCAGCCAGGCCCGCCGGGGGCAGGTGCAGGACAGCACAGCTGGCACCGCGCTGGGCACAGAGCAGCACTCCCAGGACGGCAAGGGGCCCAGCACCCCATCCCCAGAGCCACGCTGACCCCAGAGAGTAAGCGCTCCCTCGCCGACACCCCAAAGGCAGGTGACGCGGAAGCCCTACTGCTCAGCGTCACTCTCCTCATCCACAGCTAGGACAGCGGTGGCCCAGCTCGATCAAACCCGCTGAGCTGTTTTCTTTGGCCAGAACATTGTTCAAAAAAACTTTTTTTGGAACCAACATTTAACAGTTTAGAGATTTCCTTAAAAACTTGCTCTTAAAACTGAAATAGTCTGGGCCACGCCACTCCTGCCTTCCTGCCTGCAGCCGACAGAGTGGGTGAGTGCCCATGCTAGGGACAGGCGCTCCCGTCCACCGCACCGTGCTAGCGGCCTCATCCCAGGACACCCAAGCTGACCTGCGACCAGGCACCTCGGGTCTGCGTCCCCAGACCAAAGTCCTTATTGAAACAGGGAAAAGCAAACCGAAGCCTCAGCTGCAGAGTGCGCTCCCACGTTGGAGGGCACTTGGCACTGCACACACAGGCTGTGGATTGAGACAGCACCAAACCAACCCCTCCAGGGTCTTTGAACACAGCCAGAAGGGGCCCTGGTGGGTGGATTTTTAAAATATAGTCTGTTTTTGAAGGAAATACTTCCACACTCCAACAGATGCTCTCTCTCTCTCCAAGCTCACCACCGTTAATTTGTCTCACCTCTTTAGAAGGTGCCCACCTCCTACAACGTCAGCTTTTCTCCTCACTTGGCTCTTGGGCCAGCTAATTCCTGCAGCATTAGTGGCTTTCTCCCTTTCTGCCTGTAAGTTCTTTGCTGACGTAAGCTTAGCTCCCACCTCAAGATTTATCCCGTTATAGTCACAGAGGTGCCTCCTCTCTCAGAACTGGCGTGGGTCAACAAAAGGCACACGCGCAGGGCCAGATCCTACTGGAGCAAGTCACAGACACTAACTGTCGACACAAAGTAGAGGGATTAAAATGATCAACTTGGGGACAACTCAACTGTAAAAGAAGTTTTGAGACTATGGAGACAATGAAATGGAGCATGCGTGGATTGTGAGGTGATACGGCAGAATCACTGTTCAGCTTATTTGTTCTGTGAAATTTGTTGAGCCCCAGTGTTATAATAATGAGCGGGTGTGAGTGCCTGCGTGTTTCTGCCAGTGATGGTTTTTAAAGAGAAAAAACCATCTGGGTCTGCTAGCAAGGGGGGACTGCAGCTCCTGAATTGGTGTCTCTCACGGTCGAAGACACGCCAAGCATCGCCGGGTCCAGGCACAGCAGGGCTCCCGGGCACAGGCCAACTCCAGCTCTACAGCAGCACTGTCCCGGGAAGGAGCACCCATCTCCAAGACTCAAGGGAGAAGTGCCAGGGATCAGTGATGTCCAGCAAGGGCACAGGACGGGGGGCAGGGCCCCTGAGCCCGTCTTCATCACCTTTGGAGCCCGCTCAGGTGGCTGTTTGGGGAGCTCATCACCCAGCAGTCTTCTTATTCTCCTTGGCGATGCTGCCTACTGTTCGTTATTGTTCAGCCTGAACTCTTACTCTCTGCCGCTTCCGGCCACAGGATGTAGACAGGTCTGGCTGCAGCCGAGCAGTGGTGGTAGCTCGAATGACGTGGGACACCTCGCCTGCCCTGTCCAGGTCCTGCAGCCACTCCCTCCTCAGGACACAGCGCCCGCCCATGTTCTCTGACATCGGTGACAATCAAGTCCCCAAACGTCGTCACTGAGCTCAGTGTTTGACTTTCGGAATCTCTGCATTCTGAGAGGTCCACATTCTCGGTTGAGATGCTATTCGGAGCTCAGATGCCACCTTGAGCTCAATTTGGTTAGCGATGGAGGCCTCGAAACTCTTTCTAGCTCTCAGTGACATCTGGGTCGATTTAAATTGCATCGTGGTCACTGCCATTTCCAGGCCTGGCACCACCCCAGCCATGGAGACCCCACCGGGAGGCAGAGCTCCTCCCAGCCCTTCACAGGGCTCTGCTCAGAGCTTCACGCTCACGGGGAGAAGTCAAACACCGACCACAAATGACTCCGCAGAAAGTGGGCTACACAGAAAACATACAGAACACCTCCAGGCCAGCTGAAAGCTACTGAGAGACACACAGAGCCAGGGAGCTGAGAGCAGAGACAGGCCTCTCTGGCCGGCAGGTGTGGAGAAGACTGCAGAAAGGAGGTGAGACAGGAGGGTGTGGAAGGGCGGGTGGGCTGCGACTTCTCCCGCAGAGCACTGAGGAAAGCTCAGCAGAGGACCGTAAATCCCAGCGGGCTGCGTGGCCCGGTTTCATGGAAGCACAGAGTCCATATACACTGTTAGTGAGCAACCAAGGTGGGGGACAGGGAGAGGCCCAGCTGCAGCATGTCTTTCCAAGTCAGGGTCGGCGCCTCAGAGCGATGTACGTACGCCAAGGAACACCAGGACATCAAAACCCACAGACAGGTGGGACAGAAAACCAGGCCCTGGGGTAGAAAGGGTCAGCTAAGGTGGTGCAGGTGCGGCGCAGGTGGGGCACATGCTTGGCACGCTTGGGGCTGGGCTCAGTCCAGGCACCAAAGTCACAAATGCTGCCCTTATTCAGTGACTAAATGGGGGCGAAGAGAAGAAAGCAAGGTTGAGGAGGGGACAAGACAAACCCCGGCTCTGAGGGAGACACTGCTCGCCCTTGACATTGGAGGCGGGGATGGGCAGCCTCTCCTCCCCGAGCCCCAGGCTGGGAGTAGACTAGTGCTGTCCACGCTGACCGGAAGTCCATCTACACCTCCCCTCCCGGCCTTGCCCCTCTGGCTGGCTGCACTGTGGGCGGACCCTACAGTGGCCTCAGAAGCCTTTGTTGTCACCTGGGAGCCTCTGCAGAGCAGGGCCCTCCTCCGTGTGCTAAGCGTGTGCCCCACCTGCACCGCACCTGCACCACCTTAGCTGACCCTTTCTACCCCAGGGTCTGGTTTTCCGTCCCACCTCTCTGTGGGTTTTGATGGCCTGGTGCTCCTTGGTGTATGAACTGGACTTCATGGGTCAAGCATCCGGTGGGCGCATGCGGCGCTGTGTGTCACAGCAGTTGACCTGTCTAGTTCAGCAGGATGGCTGGGTTACAATCCAAGTTCAGCTCCCCACGCCGCTGCCAGCCCACAGTTTGTCACTTGCCCAAGAAGAGCAAAGGCCGTTCCAAGGCCAGCACAGTCCTTCCTGGTGTGCCACTGGACAGTGTCCTGGCCGCTCACAATCGTGAGGAAGGTAGTGACCTGGGGTTTGTCCAGCGTGGCCCACCACCACCCACAGGAGACTGTCCGGTGTGGCCCACCACACCACCCGAGATGTCAGGGGCATGGACAGCGGGTGCCAGGCCAGCTTCTCCTGGGAAGAACAGGGTACCGCCTCCCCACTGCAGGTCTGGACGGCCCAGCTGCCATCTCAGGTCCATCCCTGTCTGCCTCTGAGCTGAGCTTCCCTCACACAAGTGTCACAAAATATTTTCCAGATGTTGTCGGTGCCAGCTGGGAGAAGGTGTCCAGTGCCTTGCCAGGAAGCCAGCCACCTGCCTTGCCGCCCCAGGAGGGAAGGCTGCACCAGGGACCTGGCTCCTGAGCACAGCACTGGGCCAGCGCAAGGGACACTGTCCACCCTGTGACCTCCCCACTCCACTTGAGGCAAAGGCGTGCCTGAACTCCATACATGCTGGACAGAGAATTCCTCTCCTGTGGACTGAGCACCCCAAAAATACAGCTTCACTGAGGGGACAGCAGCGCCTGCACCTAGCAGCTTGCTCAGCCTGCTGTAGGAAGCCATCAGAAGGGCAACTACTGACCTCTGCCTACCTAACCTGTGGCGGGCTGGCTTGTGTATTTCTTCCAGATGCAGCGGTCCTTGACCTTGGGGGATGTCGTACAGTCTTTAAGGATTTGATGAAATGCTCTGACACAGGACACAACATCAGCGGGGCCCAGGATGACCGCCCAGCATCCATCCGGCTCATAGACCCCCAAGGGCGGAACCAGCAAACCTGTCCCACACAGGTCAAAGAGGAGACGCTTACCCACGGGCAGTCCCCGACACCACCCCTTGGCTGGGCAGCCAGGGTCCCAAGCCAGCTACAGGCACTGGGTAAATGAGCCAGCATGGCTGCAGGCCAGCAAACCTTTACTTATGGACACTGACATTTGAATTGCTTATTATTTCCATGTGTCACAATATATTGTTCTTCTCTCATTTTTTTCTTTTCTTTTTAACTATTTAAAACATAAAAACATCCCAGCTGCAGCCCACAAATCCAGCAGCCAAGTGACAGAGTCCAAACTGCCAAGCCTGGCTGCCGGCCGGTCATCCCCTCGGAGAAGACAGCGCTGCCCCTGGGCTCACCGGCTTCTCAGAGAAGCCTAGCATCCTCTTCAGTCTTGAACGTCCACAGCAAGATACAGTCACACCCACGGTCATGGGGCCACCGTCACCCAGGAGCAGTCACAGGCATACTCACGCCTCCTTCCAGTGTGGCAGAATACTGATCCTTTTTACATTATGGCCACTGTCGGACCTGCTGCTTCTTATCAAATACACTGATAAGAAGCCTACGTATCACTACATCACAGTGTGGTTATTATTTTGGTAACTGTATTTCAGAACACTGATTTCCCTTCCAACCACCCTATGCATTTTACAGCACAGACTTAGAGACAATGTTCCAAGAACCGTCCTGTGCTGTCAGTATTGACTAGAGAGGTGGAGGGACAGCAAAGGGAAAGAAACCTCGGCCTCCAGTGCCACGGCTGAGGCCGCACCTCCCTTACCAGTGCGTTCACGTCTTCCGTTTTGTGGATGAGCACTCGGATCTCCTCTGGGTCGCCGCTGAAGATGGCCTGGACCAGCGGTGGCTGCAAACACAAAGGAGGGCTCACTTAGCACGGTGATAACACAGGTGGTTGCGCTCAGAGGCTGCTGTCAAAGAGGCGTGCCAGCAGATGGCCCCGTCGGGGAGATGCACATAGAGAGATAACCTCTCGAACCTGGGGCTGCAGACTGCTGTGAGCGCCACAGGAAAACCACCCACCGCTCAGGCTGTCCTTGGCCAGCCCTCCAATCCCCATCACTGAAATGACCAGACGTGCTTTGTGCATCTAATCCATTACAGACGGATTCATGCCCCCAAATTAATATGCCTAAGTTGTATCCCCAAGGTGACCCTATTTGGAGACAGGCCTTTGAGGAGATAGTCAAGGTCAAATGAGGTCATACGGTAGCCCCAACCCAGGGGAACCAGTGTCCCTTGAAGCACTCACTCTCTCTCAGGCTGTACCGAGAGGAACTGTCCTGGTGGAATCAGAGGAGGTGGCTGCCGGTAAGCCGGGGTCAGGTTTTACCAAAGACCAGCCAGATGGTGCTGGATCTTGCACTTCCAGCCCCCAGAGCTCTGAGAAAATAAAGTCTGTTGTTCACACCACCCAGACTCTGGTCTTCTATCCTGGCAGCCCAAGGAGACGGGGGTCCCACCCTTCCTAAACCCCCCACCCTGTGCTGGAGCTTGGACCCAACCTCATCCTTGTCAGGCAAGTGCTCTGTCCCCAAGCTAGAGTCTGGGTCCTTTCTAAAAGTTTATTTTGAACAGGATCTTGCTAAGTTACCCAGGCTGGCCTCAAATCTGTGATCCTCCAGCCTCAGCCTCCCAAGTAGCTGGGATCACAAGCGTGTACCACCATGCCAGTTCCTCAGTAGACTCAAAGAACTCCATCCCTAGCGGGTGTTAATGGCCATGCTTTGGCCCGCTGGACATTTCTTTGGCCATGTTTGGGAAATCCCTGAAATCATTCCAAAATGCCTCCCATAGCTTTAGCCAACCTGCACTGTTTCAAACACGACATCTGCTGCTGGTCTCACGTACACAGGAGGGTGTGGGTTAGGGAGCAAAGGGGCTGTGAGTGTTCACTGAACCCAGGACAGCAAAGGAGCCTTCAGCACACGGTAGACAGAACAGCAAGCAGGGGAGACACAGCCAAAGGAACCGGCTCCCCGAGCTGGGCGGTGGGCTGAGATGTATGCAGAAAAGCACAGGGAAGGCCGTGATGACCAAGTGGTCTCCACTGGCTGGGAAGGAGGGGCATTCAGGTGCAGGGAGCGGAGGTGTGGACGTCAGAAAGGGGCTGGCATCAACCCAGTGACGAGAATGGAGCAAAGGTAGAAAAGCGGAGGTGAGGGCTGGCGCCAGGCTCACCCCACTTTACAAAGGCACCCATTCCCAGCCAGCTCCACCGCTGCCCGCCATGCTGAGCCCACTTCCCCCATAATCCCGTGGGCACCCACAGTGGTACTATTATTGGATCACATACAGGAAAACCTTCCATGACTGCACAGCGGTACACAGTTCGTGAATGTTTACATTAAATGTTCAACACTCGATATGGAATATTTGACCATTTTTCCCCAAGCTTCAAAATCCTCAGCAATCACATGCAGACTTACACATACACGCGTGCACTGGCAGCTGTGGGAAACATGTCAGTCTAGGAGGCAAATTTGGTGATTTCCCAAATTTGTCTTGTCACAAGAGTCACCCGGGACGCCCAGGGCTGAGAATCCAGATCTTTGACAGAGCACCATCTCCTTCTGAGGGGCCAGCGGCAAGTTCGGGCGCCAGAGCGGGTCATCAGCACCAGCAGGCGGCCTCTCGCCGTGCTGTCTACTCAGGGACCTGAGTCCTCATCGCCCCGCAAGCCGTCTTCTCGCCCTTCCACCCTCCCACTGCCTCTCATTTGAAGGTGCTTATTGCTGGCATGAGGACCACTCAGACACGGTAGGAGCCCCTGAGGAAATGCTGCGTAAACGTGTCCAATTTCCAGAGTCTGTTTCCACGTTCCAGGAATTTGTCAGTGACTTTCCCTTCCCTTCATGAAGCTTCCGGCCAATGCACAGAAGAAACAAAATGCTCTCATTCCCACCGCTCGCCCAGGCACAGGGACCGCTTCTCCAGCTGCCAACAACGAAGTGAAGAAGAGGTCTTGGGAAGAGCTCAAGGCTTCTCCCTGCCAAGCCTTGGCTGGTTGCTCTGCTCAAAGATGAGCAGGCTTAACCTTTCTGCACTGCAGGTGAGAGTGTAAACTGGCACAGCCGCTCTGAAATCAGTACAGAGTCCTTAGAACATTAAACCTAGAAATTTTATTCAACCGAGCTACTTCCCTAGGACTCCTCCTGAAAGAGTTAAAGACATCATATTACAGTGACCCACATGTACACATGTTTATAGCAGCACAATTCATAAGAGCTAAACCTTGGAAGCAGCCTATATGTCCATCAGCAGATGAATGGATAAGGAAGGCTTGGTATTTACACACCAAGGAGGATATAAAAAGAAGGAGGAGGATATAAAAAGAAGTATGCAGTGTTATATATGTACCAACTCCACACATGAATGTGATCATTACATACTACAAACACATGCTAATAAAAATAAAAATTGAAAAGAAAAATAAAGACAAGGAGATGCTTCCATGTTCTTGCTGACGACCCCCAGTGGAGTCCTGTGGATGTTTCCTAATTCTCGGCCAAACGCTCACATGTGCGCACTTGACCCTTTGAACTTGAAGAGAAAAACAACGAACGCAGACGAGGGTTGGACGGTAGGTGCAGGGCCTGACGAGGCTTCCCGCTCAGTTGGTGGCTGAGCAGGCAGATGCTGAGGCGCACACCCACCCCAGGCATTCACACAGCTCAGGGGGCACAGAGTTCCCAGCACCTGGGGGTGGGAATCTGACCATGCCCATGCCCACCCCACTGTGCCCACGCCGGACATCACAGACCCAAGCTTGGGCAGGTGTACACAGGGCAGTGCGGCTTCACACACAGACCCCGCTCCCTGCAGGATGGGCGGCTCTGGTCCAGTGAGCCCCGTGGCCACATCGTGGCCTCCACCACGCTGCCTCCCGGCACTGCGCTCCACGCAATTTCACAGCTGCATGCTCTGGACGAAGGTGCGTGGTGCCTCGGTGCAATTACTGAACTAAATTACTGTGATTTTTGAGCAAGTAGCTTATTTTTTTAACATTATGGGTGTTCCTTTTTTATTTTTCTCTACACTCCTAAATAAACATCCCCCCAGAGCACTTTGACATTCCCCTGACATTGGGATTTTAATCCAATCCTGCTGTTTTATTTTTCCCCAGGAAAGCACCTAACCTGAAAATAAGTATCTGGAAAAATGAATCTAGATGCTCTGACACATCGCTTCTCAGCCTCTTGGTAAGATCAAGTACAGATGCTGATGTGGGCTCGGGACACGATCACGAGAAGGGGGAATATCCTGGTTACGATAGTCTCACGAGTCCCGAGGACCATGAATTGGGCAGCCACTGGTGGCTTTGCCTTGACCGTGATGAGGCTTGGAAGTAAAGCCTCCCCTGAGAGTCCTGTGCCTTGGGGCGCCCCGGTCCTGGCCTCCCCCCGGCTGGGTGGGCTGGGTGTTAGTGAGTACCATTCAACTACAGCCCAAAGCATGCAGGGAGAATGCCAGAAACAACCCCTCCACAAGCTGTAAGTTGTGTGCCAGCCTGAAGAGTGCCATGGAGCCCTGTGCCATCCTGCTCCACCCCGCCAGGACGGGAAGGACCCTTTTGTCCGGTGTATCCACAGTGTCTACACCGCCTGCCCAAAAGTCACATCTCAGCCATTGGATCAACTGTCCTAGTATCATATGTTATTATAATCATTTTATTTTCTCATAAGCTGTTGCTAATCTCTTATTGTGCTTCACTTATAGGCTAACCAGCACGACGTGCCTGTATGTACGGGAGAAAAGAGAGCGCCAGTGACACAGGTTTGGTCCTCCGGTGGCTCTGGGCATCCCTCCAGAGGGTCCAAAGCCTCACACTTGCGCACAAACATACGCAATACAGGGCCGCCTTGCATGGAACAAGGTACAAAGTTCAGGAGACACAAAATCACAACAAGGGTCAACGCTGAGGAGCCCTCGTGCAGGGAAAGGGCACTGTTACAGCGCTGGCGGCCTCGCAGCTGCAGCTCCTCGGGACTTTCGCACGCTCAGCCGCTGTAAAGAGCGATGCCCACTGGGTGCCGTGGACACTGGCACAGGCTCCTGACGGGTGCAGAGGGCAGACGGGGACTCCCCGCACCTCAGACCCATGGCACGCGTGGGATTCCCTCGGAGGGGCCTCGCCCTGCCTTGCCCCTCACCAGCGCCAGCCCCTCCCAGCCTTCTGGGAGTGTGGAAAGCTGCCCTGGGTCACCAGGCTCAGGACAGCGGCCTTGCATAGACAGACCCACTGTAAGCTCTGCAGCGGACTCGCCGACCCTGCAGACTGAAGTCTTACCCACAGAAAGCCGGTGTCTACCCACAACCCCTCCCAACCCTCCCACTGCGATATCTCTCCCTTTTATTTTTCACTCTCCAGACAAACCAGGAAAATGTTTGATTTCCAAAGCAAAGACCTAGTCAAATGCATGTGTGTGAGCCAGAACTTTACTCTCAAACTCTGACACAGACCTTCAGTTCCGCTAGGGGGAGCACGACGGTAACTGTTACCTGGCAGATGCACGTTCAGGTGCTGAAGTGAAGTAAGGCAGCCGAGAGTTCCACTTTCATCAGAACACAAAGAGCTCAAGCTCCCAAGACAGTTCCCAGTGATAAGGAAACACACATGGAGACACACCATGCCCATGCCAAAAAAGTAAAAATAAAAAACCACTTTCCTACTGATCCCTGAGGGTCCAGGGTTTTAGGAAATAAGAACAAAGCTAGCTAAACCCCATGTGATAAAGTATCACTTTTCATCATTTATAAAACACAATTCATTTCCCTCAATTCCACTAAGACTATGCCACTGGAGGCACCAGACAGGTCATTCGTTTAAGAATGAGGTCCAGCAAG